TGACACCTTAAGCTTTTTACTCCTGGTCCGAAAGCAGAAGACGGTGCAAGCAGTCTGAATATGACCCTGTCTCTGTTGAAAGTTAGGGAGAAAGGAGCTTTTTAAACGAAACTATCCAGGCTTTTGAAACAGGGGAATACTTCATAGGGCTAAAGAAGGATATCTCGTCCGGAGATCGGAGATGGATAAGTGATAACAGCACACTAAATGCGTCAAGAGAAGGAGCTTGGCCTTGGGCCCCAGGGGAACCCGACAACCAAACCTTGAAAAATTGCATACAAATGTCCAAGACATACGGAGGCTTTAGTCGTTATAATAATATAGGATGTGACACAGGATCGAAACAAGCAGGATATATATGTGAGGGGTCTACAAAATGTATCGTTGAAAAAGGTTGGTTGAAAAATCCATAAACCTTACATTCGGACGATTGTAAAGACGCAGAGTATATGATACGCCACGCGTTATTTAGTAAGGTTGTTTACCAGGCCAGCTAAGCTATTCTGATTTTTTCTAAATTCAAAAGAGCTCTATTATAGTTTGAAAATGCTGTACCTTATTCTAGATGAGCGGATTCGGCTCCCTAATTGCATCATTATCGTAACTAAGCAGAATCATTAGATGACTCCTTTGGTATGTTACATCGCAATGCGTCATGGTAGTTTAATGTATGGCTCAGTAGGGAAAAAAAAAAAAAAAACAAGTGAAACACATAAATGCATAAGCTCACCATTTCAATCTCGTGGCAAAGCCTTTATAAACACATTTGCAAAATCCTTTTGTTTAGCCAAGGACCTCATTTAGGGCTCAGTATTGTCCCATTGGTCCTCTGCAGGAGAAGTTCTGTGGATTGTAAATCGGCATTGTTTTTCGTTCCTTTGATTATATTCTGAGCCCTGTTTGGGTATTCCTGTAAAAGTAATTAAGTTGTCTCGCGATTCAGAAAAAAAAAGCATGTGGTTAAGGACGACGAAGAAAAAAATGTGTGACTTTAGTCACTATTCTTCTATCAGACTTGATGATCGAAACCAGAAATACCACTATCCAATCAATCTTCAAGATAAACTTCAAGTGACATATCATATTCAACTTTCTGCTTCATTTTGTTGATTATTTGGATTGAAATCATTGTCTAAAAGCATTTGGTTTAACTTTAGATTCCGGTTTAAAAGTCGATGAGAAAAAAGAAATTTGAACTAGGTCTTTCGTATAGGCTGACTTAACAGTTATTACTGTTATTATTATCATCATTATTATTATTATTATTATTACTATTATTATTGTTACTATTACTATTATTATTGTTATTACTATTAATCCGATCTACCGAAGACCTGAGTATGCGGAGATTTCTTTGATGTTGACCATACGATGATCTGCAGGAGGGGTGGTTTTGTGATTCAACGTCACAACGAGCTTCGAGATCTAGAAGCTGACCTTCTACGCATAGTATCTTGTGATGTCGAGGTGGAGCCGATTCTTCAGCACATAACTGGGGAGACCTTGAATAGGGGTGGGAATAGAGCCCCCGACACCCGTCTCGACATACTTGCCCGAGGTTTCTGGGAGCGACAGAGATGTGCATTCTTTGATGTTCGGGTATGCCACCCAAATGCAGAATCAGAGCAAGTTTACAGGCAGCATGACAGTAAGAAGAAACGTTAGTATGCCAACAGGGTCATGGAGGTCGAACAAGGAACTTTTACGCCTTTAACATTTAGTACGGGCACAGAATGTAAAATATACCATAAACGTTCAGCTGAGTTAGTATCAAATAAGAAGGGAGAGAGCTATGCAAGCACCATGTCGTGGATTAGAGCCAAGGTGTCATTTGCGCTCATTCGTTCTGCTTTGCTATGCCTGAGAGGATCACAATCCATGAGAAGAACCCTCGATATCATGGACTTGGGCTTCTCACTCGACAACGCTACCGCCTGTCCAACGTAGTTTTGTGAATTTTACCAACTTTTATATATACTTTCTCTTTTTTTTTTTTGTTTCTATCTTTTTGTGAATTTATTAACTTATTATGATTATATTTTAGGGCTAGTGTAATTTTATCTCTTGAGCAATAAAGACGCACTTTTATTTTAGCATCGGCAATAATAATATTGATGATGATGAAAAGGATTAGATTGTAAATAGGATTTTAATTGAAATCGGAACTACTCTTAGGTCGTTTTTACTTTTAACTTCTAAATATTGTTATTACTATAAATTTATTAATTTACTTATTAATTTTTTTAACATTTTCTTTCTCTAATTGACAAACCGGCACATTCCGATTGAAATCGGGAGTCTCTTGACAGCGATGACCATGAATGCTAATGAAGGCATAATCACCCTCTTTTTTCTTTTAATACGTGTTACATAAGCGTTATTTGATCTGAAGACACTAAAACCAAAAACTCACGTAGAGTATTTTTGTTTTTTTTTTTGTAAAAATAGGAGCACTCCATTCGCCCTTTTGTGCCTTGTCCTTCTTAGCCTCCTTGTTCATATCAGCTTAAGGTTAACTATGTTTCGAATGCTGCAATTTATTTTTTAAAGCTACTTTGAAAACGGGATTTGAAAAACAGATTTTTCTTCTCTTTGCTACAACGAATTTAGAAAGTGCGAAGACTAAATTGAACAGTGACGCGTATGGTCGTTTCCACGCACGCGACCATATCATACTGTGCAAATGTGCAGCGAAAATCAAAATAACTCACTTTTTAGGAATATTTATCCTATAACTTTGGCGTAGAAGTCAGTTAAAAGAGTACTGAATGATGAAATCGTAAACGGTTATAACACTGCAATTTGTAACATCTTAATTACTACAATATACATGACAATTCCTTTTCAGTGTCATGACTGAACTCTAAGACTTGTCCGCTATCAGTTAAACAGACAGTTCCAAGAAACCAGTAAGGTTTGATAAAACACCTTGATAGAAACGACATTATATGGAGATTCAATTTGTACAGTGTTAATTTGATATCGAAATGAAGGAAGATAAAATAACGGAATAAGGATATTATTTGTTGGCATATTTTGAGCATATAAGTAAAATGAATCAAGGAATTCAACAGGTTTGTGGATGGTTCTGAATGTAAGGATTTCTTACATTTATTTTCTCGTATACTACTTTGTGTCAGAGTTGACTCGTGAACCACAAACATCGGTTACTACCCGTTTCAGAGAATCAATAACGAAGGCGACAAAACCCTCCACCCAGCCAAGAGTTGCAACAACTTTTACACCGCAAAACCGACCTACATCAAGTCAACCAACACAAGGTACAGTGTGGCCATCTGAACGTCGTCCATGTCTATATCATCGATGGCTATATGCCTCTATATTAGATTTATTGAACAATCGACAATTGATGAACTGATTAATTGTTTGATTGACCTGTTCACTTATCGATTCATTTATTCATTCCTTTCATTTATCTAAAAATTGAATGTCTCGTTACCATTTTGGTCATGAAACTTCGGTTGAAACAATTAGGGTTCGATTTATTTTTATCTTTGATAGCGTAGGAGTAAAATAAATCGGGTTATATAACCGTGACGTACGTGGGTGATTCTAAAAGTAAGGATTTCTACAAATGATTTTCTGTATTTCTTGGTGTCAGGGTTGACTCGTGAATCACAAACACCGGTCACACTTCGTTTTAAAGAATCAACAACAAGGGTGACAAAACCCTCCACTCAACCAAGAGGTGCTACAATTTCAACACTACAAAACCAACCTACATCAAATCAACCAACGCAAGGTACAATGTGGCCATCTTAACGTTCTCTATATGTACATGATAAATGTCTACATGCCTCTGTATTAGCTAAATTTAATGATGGATTGATCGAATGATTACTTGTTTGATTGACTTGTTCACTTATCAATTCATTGATTCATTTTTCTTCATGAAACTCCATTTAAAACAAATAGGTTCGATTTATTTTTATTTTGGTAGCGTATAAGTGAATTAAATCGAGTTGTATAACAATGAGATACGTGGGTGATTCTGAGCCTAAGGATTTCTGCTAATGATTTTCTCTAGTTGCTTTCCGTTAGAGTCGACCCGTGAGCCACGAACACTAGAAAGTACTAATCGTTTCAAAGAATCAATGGCGTCAAAAACTTATACATTACCTACAAAAGGAAATAATTTTACACTGCAAAAGCGAACCACATTTGTACTCAAGGTACAATGTAATCGTCCTAGCCTCTTCTATGTCAGTATAATAATCGTCTACATGCTACCAGCTGTATTTATCCATATCTTTTGTGATTGCCATAGAGTTTTACAATCTATGTGATTGCCATAGAGTTTTACAATCTATGTGATTGCCATAGAGTTTTACTTTTGTTTCTTTACTTCGAATGCATCGCTGTTGACGAAGAATAAAATCCAACCATAAAACAATACGTTTTCTTGCCTTGTTTTCTTTACGTAACACCAAAGCAACGTTATCATGAATTGCAATTTCGTACAGCCCAAAAACTTTGTTATAAATGTGCAACTTCTCTTTAGAGTGACGTTATGAGGTGTGCCTTACGTTCCATCTAATACCATCTTCCATGAGTTCCCCAGGGAAACAGAGGAGATCGATTTTCGCTATTGAATAACAAAGCTTATGATCTTGACAAATATGTCTCGGGCAGGGAGGCGTAGAAATGTAACACATGAGTTTATAGATAATTTGAGCCTCTAATATTCCAAAGATCGATCACAAGAGATAATAAACTGAAAAGTGACATTCGATTTTTCGACATTCCTTATTTTTCATTTCAGTCTCCACTCAAGCTTTTTCAGTTCAATCAGCCTTCGATCGCCTCATAGGAAAGCAATAAAATAACCATTTTCCTCTTTCTTCTTCAGGAACTACTTTTAAGAATACCGTTCGTAAATCTTCATGGCAAAATTTTTCATTCGGCAAAATAAATCTGGTCTTGATCGTCATAGTGCTATTGGCCGTTTTTATCTTAGCGATTGCAGTCGCATTCGGAATATTGTTTTGTCGACGACACCATGGTCATAAAAACCAAGGCAAGTCATTTGCATCATTTACATCTTCATTTTTGTTTGTTTATTTGTTTGTTGTTTGCTTGTTTCGAGCTTCTATAATATCTCCAGTTTTTTAATCAATTTCAGCGAGTATGGTAAACATGTGAATAAAAACTTAAGATATTTGGCTAAAACCTCGTTGAGAAATTAGAAAATATATTTAAGCTAAGGGGGAGCCATTCACCCTACTCCCAATGTTACCTTTGGAGATCCTGTCCCTTTATATCTTGGAAGGGGAGGGGGCTTTAGATTGGAGGGTTGGTTGTATCTTATCTTGGCTTGCTACTAACATGCATTTTCATCCTCTTCTTTTTTTTTTCCGATGGCAACGACGATAATGGTGTGCTTTATCGTGACAAACGGCAAGTAGTATACAGTAGAATACTTCAGCTTTAATCTTTTGTACTCCGTTAACTGATTTTAATGAACTCATCAGATCTTATTTATCCAGATTTTGAACAAGGAAAGACAAGGGGTCTATAAATCAATTATCCGCAAAACTTAACTTTCCGTGAGAAACATTTTGAGTAATGAGAAAACATCTCCCATTTGTCATTGGATTGAATGGCACAAAAAAAAATATTTTCAGATATACATGGTGATGACGGTACTTATATAATGATAATTGCAATATTTTTTCCCTTCCAAACCTCATTTTCTGCCCAGCCATCATTACCTTTTCTCAATGGAAGTTTTACTGTTATTGGATTTAATGTATCTTATTTGCTTCAAAGTATTCATGTAACTCATATCATTAACAGTACGTTACTTTATTTCCTGAAAACATCCGTTCGAGTACAGAGTACGACGCTACTCGAAAACAAGCGGGCAAAAATTTAAGCTATATGAACATAACGTTGTATAGCGTAATCCTACTGTAACCGTCTTTCCGCTTTATGAGAGATAAAATCATTTTTCCTTACAGATTACCTTCAGATCACCTTCACGATCGGGTTACTTGCTCCTACGAGGTGCCTCCGAGTTCCGAACTGCAATCTATTGATCCTGTGCATGTCCAACAAACACAGAACTCCACCGAGCTCACTGTACACTTAACGCTTTCACAAACGGAATCTGGGTTGACCACATACGAGACGGGGAGAGACTGCAAAAAAGAGAACAAGTATGATGACATGAATGAGACTAATGGAAAATCGAGGTCAGAAAGCGAAGGAAGTTCAGAAATTCAGGAACGAGAACGAGAAAAAGCGATGAGGATTGGTGGTAAGAAAGGAATAGAGCAGCCACCCACTTTTTGCGGTGAAAAAGAAGAAAACAAGGATAACGTTTACGCTGTTGTTCATAAAGAAAGAAAAAACAAGGTCAATTCTGAAGCAAGTGTTCTCAAAACATCTCCAAGCCGCCCTCAGGAAGGAGCAAGTGGGTTAGCCGTGAACAAGGCGTCAGGTGTCGATTGTACTGGTCGTTCGTCACATCAAACTGATTTAGGGCCTGACAATATCGCAAAGGCTGCAGAGAGCGAGACCCCTCAAACTGGCGGGAACAATGAATACTTGTACGCAGCCGTTGACGTGACAACGAAGAAGAAAAAGCCACCACAGGTATTTCATCAAACAGATTCTGACATTTCTTTTTTTATGTTGTTGTTTTTTTTTTCTTTTGTTTTGTTTTAAACAACAAACATATGAAATACATATATATCAACTGCGGTTATGAAACGTATATGTGCACGATACTTCGCAGTAAAGCACTATTTAAGCAATAGTGAAAATCAGACCTGAAAAAAATTCAGGCCTGTACGGGATTTGAACCACTGACCTCTACGATACTAGTGCAGCGCTCTACCAATTGAGCTAACAAGCCAACGGGGAGCAGGCCATCAAATTAATTCGACATAAACCCGTAGATGATAAATCAAACAACAAACATATGAAATATATATATATAT